ATGGTGTAGAAATAGCTTGGAGCCTACCTTTGGTGCTGTGAACGTCCAAAACCATAATGTTTACGAGTGCGACGTCTGTCCATATACGACATCAGCTCGCGTATTAGCAACTATTGCACAGGACGCCGATTATGCTCCAGTGCTGCAAGAACTTCTTCCGGGCAACCTTACGCCGAACCAGAATTGGCTTAGTGTCATGCCTATAGATGCCACTAATCACAACGCTCTTCAAAGACTTCCAAGGTATAGAGTTTCAGTTATGTTGCCAGCTAAAGTTTATAATTACCCGAGGTACGACCTCATCGTTTACAATAACGGCAAGAGTATCTAATGTATTATACTACATATTTACCACTCATTGTGTTAATATACCTGTTATTATTATGTAATTTATATTTATTCATTTTGATGGTCTTTTTTTTAAATTTTCAGTTTCCCAATCGATTCCGAAATAAATAGAAAATGGCTTTTAGCAACCGGTAAGAAAAATTGGGAGCCTACTAAATACTCTAGACTTTGCTTTAGGTACTTTGAAAGTAATTTATTAGTCCGAAAGAGGACAAGAACCGAATTATTTCGTAATGCTGTCCCAACCACTTTATACAGTAAAGGTTTGTAAGTTTAAATAACGTCGTATTTTAAATCTTCTAACTGTATTTTTATGTAGTAAATGGGTTTGCTTTTGACCAGAATTGAACTAAAGTGTGTAAGTTATAATATGATGAATGATGATAGGATAAAAGGGAATTTAAAGGATATCTATTCTTTTACATTATATATTTAATTTAATCGTTAATAATCTGTCTAAATCATTATAAAAGAAGAAAATCAAGAAATGTTATATTTTCCTAGGAAGATATTGCAAACATAGAAGCACCTGAAGGTGATAATTTAGTGATGGAACAACCAAATACGGTGCGTCTTTAACAGGGAGAGGAAAGTTGGTAGTAAAATTTTTAAATCTAACATGTATGGAAACAGGCTCCCTCTTACGACGTTTCGCGAACAAAGTTTGACGCCATTTTATTAAAAATGGCGCTAAACGTCAACAGGTATTCTGTGGTCAACAACCCCATTTTCTGTGAGCGCCACCATGCATCACGATCACGAGATTTAGTTTGTTAAACTAATAATTTTCTTTGTTCTTATTAATCTTTTTGTTACATTCCATTTATTACTGTTATTTCGTTCTTACAATGTCGTCACGAAAAGAGATTTGTGTTTTTGGATGTGACGAATTAGGTAAGAAATATTTGAAAACCTATCACTTATACATATTGATAATTCAACGAATGCGGTCAACCTTTTAAAAACAATCAAAACAAATTGTAGAAAGGTTAGTTGCAATTACAATTTCACAATAAGTTACAAAGTTAAACTAATAGAACATATTCATTTTCAGGTGCATGTAAGCATAGGTTCCCTCATCCCGTAAAGCTGAAAAATATTTGGATGTCGAAAGTTGGAAATAGATTAGAACCAATGAAAATTTTCACTACTAAAAAGATATGTGATTATCACTTTGAATCGAATTTCAAAACTACAGGTCATCGTTTAACAAAAATCAGAGATTTATTTTCTAACTTACTTAGTGGGGAAGCAAATATACTCTAGTATATGAATATCATATACTAAAATACAATGATTTTACAACATTTATTGTAAATTTCTACATTTTAAATTTCAATTTGAAAAAGCTAATGTATAAATTAAAAATTTTCGTATAAACAGACGAAATCGGATATTACCCTAAAAAATTATAAGTTGTTACAAAAGCACGCAAGAAGACATAAATTTCAATTAAAGAAGTCTAGACCTTTAATTTTTTATTTTTTACAGAGTGCGAGCGTTAGTATGCCACGATCATAAGAAAGTCAAATAGGCTTCAATGGTCGGAGTCAGACATGCTTTTAGCCATAAATTCGGTGATGAAATGTAGAATCTTTCAGCGTCAAACACATACAATTTACCCAAATGTTCCTTAGAAGATCGTGTAAAGAAATAGGAAATATTATAACGGTCAAAGGTAAAAAACAAGTTGGTGCACTAGCTTCGGCTGAACGGGGACAATTGGTACCACCTCTTATGATGTTTCCTCGAGCACGAATGAAGAGTGAGCTTTTGGACGGTGCACCACCAGACACAGTAGCTGTATGCCATTCAAGTAGTTGGTTGCAACAACGTATTTCCGCCGAATGGATGCATAAGCATTGAAGATCCTGTTCTTATTGTGACCGATGGTCAAGCCATTCACACTAAGAACCTAAAAGCTATTGAGTTAGCTCGTGCTCATAATGTCATAATGATCTGCTTACTACCTCACTGCATGCATCTCTATTAAACTACTCCATGTTGGTTTTGTGGGGCCTTTGAGCTCATTTTGCCCGCAAAAAGTCCAGATGGCATCTTTGTTGGAACTGCTTATAATCGTGCACTTGCCATGCAAAATGCAGTGTCAGCTTTTACCAAAACCGAAATTTGCCCACTTAATCCCAATAATTTCATAGATGTAGATTTTGTACCATCAAAGACTACAGAAATATCAGTTGTAGCAACTATAAATGAAATCTCGCGGGATCCATTGCCTCGAGAAAAAACTCCGTCCCCGCAAGCAGGAACATTTATAGAAAGACAAACGTTTACAGACTCTATAAGTTTTGTATCAGCAAAAGATATCATGCCGATTCCTCGTTTTAAAAAGAACATACTGCCATCAACGCGTCGAAGAAAAACAGCGATTTTGACTGAGTTTCCGTATAAAAATGATATGGCTGGAAGGCTACGCCATCAGTTATTAAAACAAAATTTAAAGGCAAAGGTACCGGGAAAAAACGAATAAAGAACACAATCAAGAGGATTCGGAGTGTTTGGTTTGTAGCGAAAAGTATAATCAAACTAAGTTTACGGATGTCACTTGAAGACGACCCACGGCCAGGAAGGCCGACCGAGGTGTTCGGAAATTATTCAAAAAGTCGAAAAATTTATATTATGAGACGCCTAAAGAAAAAACAGCTCGCAGAAATGGTTAGAGTATCAGATACAACCATTTTCAAAATTCTTCATGACCATCTTGGCATGACTAAAGTCAGCGCAAGATGGATGCCTAGAAGCTCACACCGCCTCAAAAGCAACAGCGCATGAAGTGTTCTCGTGCATTTTTGGACCTCTGTATGGAAGACAAAGATGGAGTGTTGGATCGAATTGTTACTGGTGACGAAACTTGGGTTCACCATTATGAGCCTGAGTCAAAACAGGACTCTATGCAGTGGCACAAAAGAGGCAAGGTAGTTATTGTTGTTTTTTCACCACCCAAGAAATTTAAGGTGGCACAACCGGCTGGGAAAATCATTGCGACAGTATTTTGGGACGCAGAAGGAATCCTATTGATTAATTATAAAGATAAAAGTGTCTCTATAACCGGAAATTACTACGCTTCAATCCTAGAACAATTGAAGGAAACCATAAAGGAGAAAAGAAGGGGAAAATTGATCAAAGGAATCCTTCTTCTCCACGACAACGCGCCTGTCCACAAGTGCCATATTGCGATGGCTGCCCTGCAGAAGATGGGCTTCGAAATTTTGCCACACCCACTTCACAAGTGCCATGTTGCGATGGCTGCCCTACAGAAGGTGGGCTTCAAAATTTTTCCACACCCACCCTGTAGTCCTAACCTGACCCCCAGTGATTATTATCTATTTCCAAACTTAAAAAAAGAACTTCGTGGGTAAAAATTTTTAAGTGATGAAGAAGTGAAAGAAGCTGTTTCGGCGTATTTTTTAACCCTTTCAGCGCCAGAATATTTTGGTATGTTTATGCTGTATGCCGTCATACATATAAGCAGCTACGAGATAAATCGTACTTGGCATAGTAGAACATAAATCCATTCGACTATGCCGACTACCAGTATATTCGTATACGGCTATACTCGTAGTCGGCAAAGAAAATGGTATTCTTTCGTAATTTGGCGGGAAAACAGGAAGCAGCACGTCAGGTTGCTTCGTGTTCGGGAGCTAGACACGAACTGACAGTGCAACTAGTTTCGGCCGGTTAGGGGACGTGGCTTCTGACCGAGTGGTGGCGTGTGAGTGACATTACTCAGTTTAGCTACGTAATGCAAAGGATGCGCTGTCGTAACAAGTAATTATCTGCATAAAAAATGGCTAAGCGATTAAGTGAACAAGAAATATCTGATTTAGCGAATTGTGATAGTAGTAACTAGTGGTGATGACTTCTCTTCGACAGATGAAGACGAATTGTATGTGCAACCTGATACAAGCGCTGATAGTTCGTTTTTGGAGCGCGAACATGCTGAGTCTCGTTCAAACGCACAAGCTACACAACAAGCTATTACATTGCGATCCAATACTATTCAATCTTCTTCTTCATTAGATAGTAGTAGTGCTCCAGATACGTCTAACTCAAAACTTCAGCCAAGTTCAGAAGAAAATGTCCCTTTGGTAGGAGAAAACGAGAGTAATGAATGGCTAGATATACCCTGGGAAATTTCAGACTTCCCGTTTTTGGGTCCTGAGCCAGGTGCGAAGATAGCTACTAATAAGAGCACAGCTCCTACTATGTATGCTGATTTGTTCTTCAACGACGAATTCTTGAAAAATTTAGTTACGGAAACTAACCGTTACGCCACCTAAGTGCTTTCAACGCATCGTTTGCGACGTTCGTCAAGATTGAAAGAATGGAGAGAAACGAATAAAGCCGAGATGAAGGTATTTATTGCTATTATTTTACATATGGGTATCTTGCAATTACCTCAAAAACCACTATACTGGAGTAAGCATAAGTTATATGACATTCCGCTTTTGAGAAGTTTGATGAGCCGTAATAGATTCTAGATACTATTCAGATTTTTCCATTTTTCAAACAACGAAGAAGTTGATGAAAGTGACCGTATTTACAAAATAAGATTTTTGATAGACCATTTCAACAAATTTATGCAAGATATTTATGCCCCGAATAAAGATTTATGCATAGATGAATCTGTAATGTCGTGGAAAGGAAGACTTTTTTTTCGAGTTTACATAAAAAATAAAAAACATAGATACGGCATCAAGATATATAAACTATGTGAAAGTAACGGCGTAATACTGAAGATAAAACTTTACACAGGCAAATCAGAAGGTCAGGAAGGTAGACAAACTATAAAAATTGTAACAGATTTATTAGATGATTACTTGAATAAAGGTTACAAGGTATATACAGATAACTACTATAACTCCGTTGAGCTGACAAGAAAAATGAGTGCAAATAAAACTTACTTATGCGGAACTTTGCAATCAACCCGTAAGGGTAATCCAAAAGTTGTGACATCGGCAAAGCTGAAGAAAGGTGAGATGATTTGGAGAAGAAAGGGGGAAGTAGCGGTTTGCAAATGGAAAGACAAACGCGATGTTCTAACCATTTCAAATATGCACAATCCTGAAATGATAACTATCAGAAATCGCAGGAATCAACTTAAACTAAAACCTAATATTGTTGTTGATTACAATAACGGAATGGGAGGAGTAGACCACTCTGACCAAATGATTTCCTATTATGAGAGCATGAAAAAAACCAAATACTGGTACAAAAAGTTCGCTATTCACATTTTTCAAATGTTTATACATAATGCTGCAAGAATACATAATGATCAATCTGGATTGAACAGATCGGAGAGAATACCTCTACTGAATTTTACTGAAAATGTTATTATCCACTTGTTAGGCCAAAAGTATATCGACTATTCTGAAAAACCAGGGCAGTCCAAAGAGGTCAATCAAAGTGGTCAAGTATTGCTTCAACATTATTTGGAGTATATACCACCTACAGAAAAGAAAAGCAAGCCAACTAAACCTTGTGTTGTGTGTACCAAAAATAAGACTCGCAAAGGAACAAGGTATTTTTGCACATTGTGTTCAAAAACTCCAGCTTTATGTGTAGTTGATTGTTTCAAAGCTTATCACAACTAAATATTATATTTCTACTGTTGAAAAGACGGAATTATGTCTTCTTTTGTTTGTTTATACTACTACTCAGTACCCTATGTTTGTCATATCATAACTTTTTCCCAATAAAAGTTTGAAGTTTGAAATTACCATGCGTTTTCTTTGCTAATGCCAAACGTACAAAATCCGACCTTACCTGTAGTGCCAATAAATATTTTTTTTGTGTAGAAGGACCTACAAAATCTACGAATATATTCGTAGTCGGCACCATGGTGAAATCCCGCACTAAGAGTTATCTCGTAGCTGGCACGCAAAGGGTTAAGACTAAAACAAATCATTTTCTTTACATGAATATTCTTTAAAATAATTGTACATGTTCGAAATAAGGTCGGTTCGAAGTAGGTCACTTTATTTCAAACATGTACAATTATCATTTAAACATTATTTTAAAATGTGTAGGTAGTGGTCTTCCATTTTTTCTTATCAATAAAAATAGCTTAGGTTCATTCATTATCAAAGCTATAATTAGAATGTTCTAATTCGTCCTAATTATTTATTAGCATTTTTTTTCTTACACTTAGCATTTTAACCTTCATACAAATATGAAATGTCGCTGTTACTCCCCACAAGATTCCCGCCTCACCACATAAAGTTCTTTTACGTTGTTTAATTTTATACAATATTCATCTTTTACAGTAAATTCTAATCTATTCGGTATAATCATAAATTTTTTACAATTTCGTTATACAAGCTTAGTAACACTAATTGCTCGATCGTGTATTCACTTTCTGAACGCATTCTGATTTTAATGCACTAGCAACAGCCATCTCTGATTAGTCAATTTTTAGCTGTAGCTGCCATATTTAATTTAAAAGAAAACAAGACTCGAAGCTTACAGTGTTGTGCTTAAATAACATTCTAACAATTTAGTAACGGTTGACTTTTCTTATGGGTAATTTTTTTTTAAATATATTTAATGCTTCATGTGTTGAACAGACTGATATATCGTAACATATGCTTTCATGTAAACGATAAACTTAACGGTTTGATCTAAAAAATAATTTAACGTTACTTTTCACTACCAATTTCGTAACTTTTCGTTATGTTACGAAATTGTATAGTCCTAAGTAAAGTATACACTTGTGTAGTAGTGATAAGCATTACTAGGTTGGTGAGTAAATTAAGCCCTTTTGCACATTATAAGAAAATTTCTTGTATCTTATGAGAAATATCTTATAATAAATTCAGTCGCATTGGTTGTTATACCATACATATTATAAAATATTTTTTTATGTCGCATCAGACACGCGCACTAGTAATTTTGTTGGCTGCACGTTCTGTGCTTGCTCCTGCGGTTGATGAAGAGATGCCACCTTATGTTCCATTGTCTACACCATGCTCTAACTTACCTACTGTAACACACCCCATCATCACACAAATACACCAAATCATACATAAACACAGAGAAACAGGCACTATAGAGATGAGATGGGTCAAAAGTCACTCAGGCATAGCTGGCAAAGAGAAAGCGGAGAACGCTGCTAATACTGGCTCTAAGTTGCACAAACAGCCGGACTACATGGCTTTCCCATCTCATACCTCATACACAATATCAGAACACATAACCGTGTAACCTGGCTAGCTAGGTATTATAGCGCAGAACAGGGCCAACAAACAAAAAGACTGCTTCCAACACTGGGGGACATCGAGGTTTCGCGCTCTCACGAAACCCTGTTTTTATTTGACATAGGTCGTCACCAACCACGGTTACCACAAGTCATACCTTCACCGTTTCAAAACTACAAACAACGACTATTACCCGCGTGACAATACCACCTCACAGACGCTGGAACACCTTATCAAGTATTGCGCTGCATTTTCTGTACCACGGTTAAACCATCTAACTCTGTGCGAAAACTAAAGAACCCGTCCCTATAGTTTAATAGATTTAATGAAGAAGGAATACTTTTTGGAATCCTTCGTTCCATTTGTCAACAAAATTAAAAGCCTCATACACTTTAACAGTAATAGCACGCCTGTAAATAGTAATAGTTAATTAATTATTAAGTAGAACACCTCTTATAGTTTGTATTATTTTGTTTGAATATTTTTTGCTATTTAATCAAAAAAAAAATAAGATTAATGTGGTGATTGTGTTTTTTTATATATCTTTACTTTATTCTATAATCTTCATACCTATCATTTTATTGTGTCTAGTAATAAGATTACCCATTGTTTCAACTATCATCTCAGCTGTTTTCTTTGTTTATTGTGATTTAATCAAACAGTCTTGTTTATGTGTTAAATTAAGGATATACTGGTCTTCTTTTTCTTTCTGTTTTACACTGATTTGTTTGTGTTTGTGAACTAATAATACGTTTTTGTTTTCAATATTTTCACTTCATTGTCAATATATTATTTTGTCTCAATTTAAAAATACGATTATCCTACGTTTTACTTTATATTGTTTTGTGTATTTCGATGTCATTTTACTATTTTGTTGAGTTTTAAATTCCACTTGTTTATATTTCCTTAAAGTTTTGTCGTGTTGAATTATGTCATTAATTAGAATTAAGATAACATTTTGTTTTCTTCAATTTAAATTTTCTTTTGTTTTTAATGTTTAATTCATATTGTAAATGATTATGTCAAGCGGTAAGCGCGAGAAAGAATCACAGACATATGTAGCCTTCTCCATGTACGTATTATAAAAATAAGCAAAATCGTATCTCAAATGAATAATATTGCGAATATTGACAATATACTCCCGCCGTTGGGGTCGTACCTTCTGGTGGAAACCATAAAAAACCCTGAGGTGTTTGCTCTTGGTGTCGGTGAAGAGTTGTCAGCAGGTGTTTCGCTGTCTTCACCCACCACTAACTTACCTGCTGATTTACCAACTTATGCTGAATTACAGGCACGGAATAAAACGTGGACTACTAAAGTTGATAATTAGTACAATTTTAACAAGGAAATGGAACCCACTAAATCATATAACCATAGAAGTCTCCCTATTGAATATTTTTTGTAATTTGTCCCCAGATGAGCTTTCTGAAATGATCGTCAAATACTCAAATAAATACGCAGCATTAGAAACAAAGCAAATTCTGGACAGGCACTAATGTAAATGAAATAAAGCATTTCTAGCGACAATCATTCTAATGGGAATAAGCCCTCAGTCAGATATCGAGTTGTATTGGAGAGCAAATCCATTTTAAAAAAACAAGGAAATAAGTAGCACATTTACTTGCAAAAGATTCAAAAAAAATGTAATTAATAAAATTCTTAATAATGTTTGCGACATTACAATTCATTTGCACAGGGATCACAAAGATCATGACAAACTTCAAAAAATAAAACCACTGCCAACTTATCTAAACAGGACATTCCAAGAGAATGCTACCAACTCGCAAATCCAGTCAGTGGATGAAAGTATGAAAAAATTTAAAGGCCGTGACAGTAAAAACAGCCAAACCCATCAAGAGAAGGTTCAAGGTATGTCGATGTGATGCAAATAGTGGTTATCTCTACCAGTGTGATATTTATGTAGGCAAAAACCAATAACTCAATGAGGGTTTATAGAGTTGTAATGAAACTAGGAGGAAATTCACCACCAAATGCACATTTGGTGTTTGAATTTTATTACCTCTGTAGCTCTCATGGAAAGTCTTTATTATAGAGAGATTCTGGCTACAGGAACAGGTAAAGGTCTTCCGAAGGAGTTGTCTACACGAAAACCTCAAACTCCTGAAGAAAGAAGACTTGCCAATGAAACTCAATTGAATCCTGGAGAGTTTACATGCCGCTTCAAATGGAAAGATACCAAAGACATTCATGTTTTGTCGACTGCAGTTCATCCAGCCAAAGTTGAAGTAATCCAAAGAACTCACAAGCACGGGGAAAAGAAAGATATAGAAGATATCTTTCTTTTCCCCGTTCTTTTTTCCCATCTATAATTGCAGAATACACAAGAAGTATGGGTGGAGTGGACCATATCGACCATATTCGAACTTCGTACGCAATTGGCCGCAGTTTAAAAAAGTCATGGTCCAGCTTGTTTTGGTTTTTGTTCGAGAGTGCTATTATTAACGCATACATTTTATATAAACACAAACACGAAAATCGTCAAAACTTACACCGAGATTTTAGATTACGTTTAGCTAGAAGTTTTAAATCGGCACATATCTCAAAACAACAACAAAAAAATCCAGTGGTATTTAGAAATAAAAATGGGGGTTGTTTTGAGATTCCGGATGAAATTAAATTGGGGCAAGCTGGATAATATAATAAAACTGGATATCACTATTTGAAACTTTCTACGTACAAACGTTGCAGGTTTTGTAGTAGGAGTGGTCGTTACAAAACGTAACTAGTTACTGAAACTATCTATTCACACAATAGCAGGTAGCGGGTTATTGCAGTGCAACGAAACTATCTATTACAGTAGACGTTTTACTCAGTAACACGATTCACATTTCACGAATCACGAACGAGCGATCAGTAACAAAACGTTTATTCGGCTATTTTCGCGACGCATCGGCGACGGCTTCGGCTGTTGAAGTAGAAGCACATGAGTAAAGAAAGCGACTCTTTACTCTGTGGTAGAAGTACCACCGGTCGTTGAATGTCGAGTGAGCGCGGGTGCTTTTGCATTTGACCTATGACTCTATTCCCTTCGTATAGATGCGATATTAGAAATGAGAAAGTAAGTGTGCATGTTTTTAACAAAAAATAGTTCAAATTCCATTATTTAAGTGGCCTTGGCCCGGTTTAAATATAAATTAGTCTTGTGTTGTTTATGTTTAATGACACGGTTTGTTTTTACTTTTTAGGCGCGTTTGTTAATATTTTTGTTTTTTTTTTTTTTTGTGCAATAATAATAATATTTTTAGTAAAATAAGAACTAAATACAATTGTATATATAGTGTTAATAATAATAATTGTACAGTAATTAGTGTAAGTAACTAAGTGTAAAAATAATACTAAAACTTTATGTGATAGTTATCAAAAATGTCTCGAAGCAGAACTTTGGGACTTTTTTACAAAAGATACTACAACCATGAAGGCCAAGTGTACACTGTGCGGTGACTTTTATAGTTATAAGACTACTACGGGAAATCTGAGGCGTCGTCCTAATTGGGAGCGATCGTACGATGGCGCGATGCGTTTTTCATCTCACGATCAACGTGGTCGTACGATGACCTAACAGGTGTCCTAATAGATCGCGCGATGTCTATCGTGCGATGCCGTCGCTCGATGGCTGGCGTCGCGCTTGCGCCACTTTAACAATGGCTCTTTATAGAGATGCACAGTTTTTGCTGTCGGGCAATATTGCTTTAAAAATTGCAAATGACATTGAAAAAAGGAAACGTAGACAACATAAAATACTTTATAGATCCAGGAATCTGCGCGGTGAATTTTTCAACCTTTATTTTGATGTACGAAATAACGAAGAATACTTTTACGATTATTTGTCTATGTCAAAAGAAACATTTGACTACATCTGCAATGGAATACGTAGCGATTGTAATCATAGAGTGACCAACTTTAAAAAACCCATTAGTGTGGAAGAAAGATTGGTATTAACAATCAGGTAAGTTTTTTATTATTATTATGTGTGCGTATCCTACAATTTGTAAGTCCCTGTTGAAAGACCATTCAAATGAAAAAATGCAGGTTGCAGGTTGCAGGTTCGAACCCCGGCACGCACCAATGTCTTTTAGAATTCATGTGCGTATTATAAATTAATTATCACTTGCTAAAAACGGTGAAGGAAAACATCGTGAAGAAACCAGCACACCTGAGAGATTTTTCAACGGTGTGTGAAGCCATGTCAGAGGCCTACGGGCGGTTTAAACTCTGACACCAGGTTGTTCATCAACCATACGATAAGAAGAAGACGGTATAAAAAAAGCAATAATCACACATTTTTTTATTAGAAAAAGATATTGAGGTGTAAAAAATCTTATATTCAAGAATCATATTCAGCATTAAATGATTCGTAGAATTGTTGTGTGTTTGTCGGTGGTGCCATGGATGGATGTGAGGATGCGTGCACAGGTGAAGGTACGATTGACATTGACATAGTAGATGAAGAGTTTGAAGGGGGTGATGGCATAGCTAGAGAAATTTCGTCTGCTATTGTATTCTGTAGTTTACTTTTTAATCTTAATTTTTGCACTGGATTCATATATTTAAAATATGGAGCTAGCGATTTCAAAAATAGTAAATCTTCATCCTCAACTTCTTTTTCTTTCTCCTTAAACGCTTTAATTTTATCTTCTTCGATTTGGATCCTTCGACGCTGAAATTCGGTTAAAGATTGATTTTATTTACGTTTTCTTTTTTGGGATCCAGTTTGTAATCCACTATCCAAAGCTTCAGTTGACAAAGCACTCGTGCTCTGTGTAATTGTACTGCGCGCACTGGTAGACAGTGGTTCGTCATCAGAAGACACAAAAGCCTCGGATCTATTAGACATTGCAGTAGACTTCTCTTCATCAGGCAACTGAAGATTCTGCTCTGATCTTGAAGTGGATGGTAGGCTGGCATCATTATCATTATTTCCAGTTTCTTGATGAACACTATTACCTTCGGTTGGTCGAGGCATTGAAACATTCTTTAAAAATAACATATGTTGGTAATAGGTCCACTTTCCTGAGTAATATTGTTCATTTGGGCTTCCTGGATCTCCAGAGCGAGACTTACGAACTGTTTTACATTCTTTTAGAAAGACATCCCTTAAGTGTCGCCACCTAGTTTTAACGTCCTTTTCTGTAATAAATAACAATAAATTTTAATTCAACGTGTTATTATTTACAGGTACTTAACAACAGGAACCCCTTTTCGGAAATTAGGAGTGCCATTTCGCATTTCAAAAACCGCAATAGCAAGTATCGTGATGGAGGTTTGCAGTGCAATTTGGAATAATTTTAACGAAATACATATGAAGTTTCCAAGTATCGAAGATTTTAAGGAAATAGCAAATTCATTTTCAAATAAAAATAAATTTCCACATTGCTGTGGGAATCTGGACGGAAAACACATTCGTGTCGTAAAGCCACAACTCTCTGGAAGCATGTATTTCAACTACAAAAATTATTACTCAATTGTTTTATTAGCGGTCTCCGATTCAGACAACACATTTCGCATCATTGACGTAGGTGCATACGGGAAAGATAGTGATGGAGGCGTTCTCAGCAATTCAAAATTTTTTCAAGAACTTAACAGTGGAAATATTCAATTACCACCCGAGGAACGATTACCGAATAGTGATATTGTGGCACCATATGTATTTTTAGGGGACGAGGCTTTTCCTTTGAAAACGTTCATAATGAGACCTTATCCAAGAACACAAGCAACAGGAAATGCAGATAAATCAAGATTTAATTTCAAATTGTCTACTACAAGGGTCGGTATAGAATACACCTTTGGAATGGTTGCTAGTAAATTTAGAATTTTTTTAAAAAGCATCGAAACATCTGTGGACAATTCAATTAAAATTGTAAAGGCAGTCTGTCTGTTGCACAATATTATAATACACAGAGATAAGAGAGAACCAGAATTATCTGTAACAAATAATCAATTAAATAACAATTTTGGAAGACTTCCTCGTAATAGAGTTAATAATCGTGCTACAATAACAGCAATTAACTCTAGAGAACTCTTCACCACTTATTTCTTTAATAGAAATGATTCCTAATTAACAGTTAATTTACGTCAATAGGGCTTAGTGCATGGTTGGCATACTAAATTCACCTATGAGGAGCCCCACCTATGGGAAAATAAAATTATAAAAAATGTAAAAAATATATTGACGATTCAAACCCTCATATCTTCTAAAGTATACCACTTACGATAATTTACTTGACACATGTTTCATCATTGGCTGTCACAATTTTTTTCCCCGTACTGAGGCTCCTCATGGGTGAAATCGGGTCTAGTTCATAATTTCGAACGTGAAATCACTATGCCAGACTTCATACAAAAATGTCAGAACCTCTTTAGTAATGAATGGAGGTACGATTTACGATTACGATTCAAATTATATCTAACTATACTAAGTAGATACTTAAGCCAAGGTATGAGTGTGAGTGTGTGTGTATGTGTGGTATACATTATACAATTCTGGTTGTGATTAAAACTAAGCTCAAATTACTATCTACTTACTTGTTTTATTTATGTTCCTCGCAATTATATCCCATGCTCTTTCACTTTTCAACCTGTTTTTATAGTCCTCACTCTGTTTATTCCAAACAACAGGATGTAAACGTACTTGGTTAATTAAATCTTCTTCGAATGTCATCTTGTATGTAACAGAATAGCCAAACGCTTTACACGAAGAATGAAAACACAAAATGGCGTCCGGCCGCGAGCGAGCCGAGTACCTACTGTGTGTCACTGGTGTTGGCCCTTGCCCCTTTCGTCCCGCGCCCCTCGCGCGTCGACGCATCGCGTATGTAACCAATTAGGACACTCAAAAGAGATCTGTTGCTTTCATTACATGGTCGCACGATCAAACGCATCGTACGATCGTTATTAAGCATTTCATGTGCTCGCACGATTACTTGCGAGGTTCAAATAGGACACTCTGATGAAATCTGTATGTTTGAACTCATCGCACGACGAGAACGCATCGTGTCATCGTACGATCGCTGTCAATTATGACGACGCCATAAGAGCCATTTACGTAAAAGACATTTAGACGCATATGAAAAAGTCGCTTCGCACCAAGGTGTAATTTTACGGGAGATGCGTTCTACACCAACGGCTGAGTCAACGTCGCAACCACCGACGACAGCAGGGGCAAGTAGTATCACACCACCTGCTGACGTCACCGGGTCAATTCATCAATTTAGTCAGACTACTGCTGCACCTCGAGCTGTACCATATCCACAACAACAACGAATGGACAGTTACGGTACAGCAAGAAAAATATCAGCTGATCAAAAAAAAAGATTGATAGAGATCTACTGGACTTATTCATAGAAGGATATCAACCATTTTCAATAGTGGAAGAGAGAGCGTTCAAAAAGCTCGCAATTTGGATACCGGGATACGTATTGCCAAGCCGTCAAACTATATCTAACATTATGATTCCCGCTCTTTACGAGCAAACTAAGGAAAAAATAAAGGTAGAACTAAACTTCATAAGATCAAATGATCATATCAAATTATGCATTACAACCGATTTATGGACATCACGTGCAAACGAAAGTTATATTGCCGTGACAGGGCATTTCATAACAGAGCAATATGAATTAAAATCCATTCTTATGCAATGCTCAATTTTCGATGAGGCTCACACCAGCGCGAACATCCAAGAAAAAATATTATCTATGACTAACGAATGGGGTCTGCGCTACAAAATAAACTTTGTGATCTCTGATAATGCCGCCAATATACAAAAGGCGATTTCGGAAATCGGGTGGAAACACTATGGTTGCTATGGGCATTCGTTAAACCTTGTAGTACAAGACGCAATTAAAAAGATCGCCATTAATTTAGAAAAAAATAAAAAAAATTGAGCGACATTTCAAAACAAGCAGTAATGCTCTTGAAAAGTTATTAAAGGCCCAAACTATAGAAAATCCCAATAATATTCCAAAAAGACTTATACAAGAAGTACCTACGCGGTGGAATTCCACATATAACATGATAAATCGATTTGTAGAACTCAAGGATTTTATCAGAGCCACAGTAGCAGTCATTGATAAAAATCTGCCTTATCACGAACGAAGACTGGCAGCTGTTCGAAGAACTTAAAAAAATCTTAAAGCCATTCGATGACGCTACACATTCTTTGAGTGGTGACAAATATATGACTGGAAGCGCAGTAATAGTCATGACGAGATGCCTCTTAACAGCCTGCGAGAAACTATTGCTAGAAGACTTTTCCCCAGTTGCAATCACTGTTGTAAGAGACTTAACCCTACAGCGCATAGTGGGACACATGTGGCACATACCTAAAAAACCTCTATATTTCCGTACTCGAAATAAGTAGCGTCATCTAGTCAAAAGTAAACTACGAGTAAATATAAAGGAATGGTCAATCAAATTTAGTACTAAAATTTTTGGTTAGATGTCTCTGAATGAATGTTTGTTTACATTTTGTTCAAAACCAACGGTATTTTGAAAGTGATCGACAGGTTGCGCAAGAAAAAAACAAAAAACTGATAAATTTGAATAGTTTGTATACGAAATAATTTGTAGAGGTAAGTTTATGTATCTATTTGTTATTTTTTTAGTTATTTGTAATTTCATAAATAAATAGTGCATAGAAATACGACATTTTTGTATGTGACAGATGTGGCACACGATGCAATAAGTGTCTTCAAAATATTTGTATTGTTTCTAGATGAGCCGAAGGAAAAATTTGAATTCTAATGATATTCAACAGTTTCTCGAAATTCCTTCCGGTAGTGAAGATGACCTGGAACTGTCTGATGAGGACAGCGATGACGACTTGATCAGAATCCAGGATTTGATGTTGAACGAAGTGGAGACGTGCCCTGAAGTACTACAGGATGATTTCTTCGATGAGAACGTGAGCATACCTAGTCCAAGGTCAAGCAGTAGTATGTTAGTGATTCAGCCAACAAGCAGTTCTTCTAACACAGCCAACGTTGCATCACAACCTAGTACTTCCAGGCAAGTAAATCCTAGATCCAGCCGAATAGCATCACGACCTCAAGCAGTACCTACTCCCCGCATCATTTCACCTTCCCCACAGCCTGTCAGGCCTGCCAGGCCAAAACCTAAGAGAGAATACATATGGCGGAAGATGGACTTTCAGCCACCTGATACCACATTTACTGGCGTTGACGTGTTGGAACAACCACATACTACATTTGAAACACCTTTGCAGTACTTTTTGCACTTTTTTGACGACGATTTGTTAGATCACATTGATGAAGAATCTACTAAATACAGCATACTCAAAGCCAGTTTTGGTTACAAAGACGGAACTCAAAAAATATTTAGGCATCTGTCTCTTGTTAGGACTGGTGCCACAGCCAAACATTCGCATGTTGTGGAATTCTATATTAGGTATACCACTTATAATTGAAACGATGACACTCGGTAACTTTGAAAAATTACTAAGTGTCATACATTTCAATGACAACATAAATTACAAACCTAGAGGAGAGCCAGGACACGACAGACTTTTCCGTATTAGACCCTTATTGGGAACATTGAGAAAGAAATGTCAAGCTGTGCCGAAACGAGAGACACTTTCGGTGGATGAGCAAATGTGCGCTACCAAAGCCTGCAACTTCCTCCGCCAGTATCTCCCGAACAAACCTCTAAGTGGGGATACAAGTTGTTGGTGTTGTGTGATGATAAAGGTTTTGCTTAAGACTTTGAAATCTACTCCGGCGTAGAAAATGATCCTGAGTTGAGGCTGCCCGACGAATGTGATTTAGGAGCGAGTAGCAACATTGTTGTATAAGATCTTTTTCGATAATTATTACACGTCTCCTGAATTGATTTCTTACTTGGCTAAAAAAGGCATTCATACATTAGGCACCGTGAACAAGGGTCGTATGGGGATGACTTTGAAAATGCCATCTCAAAAAGAATTGACGGCCGCTAAAAGGCCGCGCGGCTATTCAGAAGGATGGGTGGCTACTGTTGATGCAGTACCAGCAGTCTCAGTCTCAGCAGTGCTGTGGCTAGACAGCAAATCTGTTGTTCTCGCATCTTCTTTTGTCGGTGAACGACCTAAATATAAAGTAAAACGTTTCTGTAAGAAACGTAAACAATACACAGAGGTCAACGCCCCAAATATTATTGGACATTACAATCGGCATATGGGCGGAGTAGATCTCCTTGACTCTTTCATAGGAAAACACAAAATAAAAATGCGTACAAGTGGTACATGAGAATATTCTATCATTTGCTAGATGTGATGCTGATAAATAGCTGGCTTTTATATAAAAGAGTAGAGACGCAGAGGGAAAACACAAAAATGATGAAGTTACGAGAATTCCGTCTGGAGGTGGCCAAAGCATTGTGTTGGTGTGGACCGTCAATAATAAAGAAGAGAGGAAGACCCTCCTCATTTGTATCTGACATGCTTGATGAAAGAATCAAAAGGAAGCCAAAACTCAATGTACCACCAAAAGATGTCAGGACCGATGGAATGGAACACTTTCCTATTTGGTCTAACATTAGGAAGCGATGTAAGTTACCTGCTTGTAGGGGGAAATCTTTTGTAATTTGCCAGAAATGTAACCAGACACTCTGTCTAACAAGGACAAGAACTGTTTTTTGTCATTCCACAAATAGTTTCGAAATTGTTGTTTTTGTTCTATATTTTATTCTATTTTTCACAAAAAGTTCCTAGTTTTATAATTATATATAAGTACAAATACTTTGATTGTAAGGCTCCTTAACCTAAGGTTAAATTAGTTGTTATAAAACATAATTTTCATGAATAAAGTTTGATTACTATGAGTTTATTTCATTCATAACTATTTCTAAAGCATTACTACCGATTTACATTATAATGCACGATATGCCATATGTGGGCCATACGAAAAAACTTACATAAGTATGTTTCTATGGAGTTGCGATTTTTTTAAATATTTTTCCGAGCTATAGTATTATATTTTCTAGGTAATATATATATATTTCTTAAGCCGAAAAAAAAAATCATGCACTGTAGGGTTAAAGGAAGGATTGAAGACTCGTTTCGCT